ACAAGACCTTGCCTGCCCCATGTCCTGCGGCTGAGTTGTTTCTTATGTGGAGCTCACTGGCCTGCTTACTGGGAATCACAGGCCTTGCTTTTTTAAAGAGCAAAAAACCAAGGCGGGCAGAATCTCCTAGGGATTGTCTTCATCAGATGAAACTGCTGTAGTCATTATTAACTTACCAACTGACATACCTATAGACTTGGAAGAGCTCTGAGATTCCTTGAAGCAGGACAAAGACAGCATGAGGAAGAAGTGAGCTCTGGCAGGAATTACCTAGGTTATCCTTCGAAGTCTGACGAGGAAGGTAAACGTGATCTCCCTAGGCCAGGAAAAGGCAGTGTGCACCGCAGTTGTCTTTGACAGCAGCCCTTTGCCACCGTGCATACCTCCAGATCTTTCATTGCACATTCACTGTCTGCTTGCACACATGATTGCTCTCCTCTTTGTGTTTTCCAGTCCCTGGTTTCTCTTACTCTTCACATCCATGACGCCCACTTGTACTTCTACAGAGGAGCCCATTCACTACTTTCTATTTTGTCAGTAATGAAAGGATATATTGTTCTGGGAAAATTGAAACATACCCTTAAGCTTCAGGTTTTGTTTTAAAAAAATTCTTGAGCAATTTTCTAAGTTTCATTAACCATTTGCTTATTTTCTAACGAAGTGCTAGGCGCTTAGGGCATACAGAGATACCTAAAGAAATGTTACACTCATATAAATATAGATGTGTGCGTGTGTGTGTGTGTGTGTGTGTGTGTGTGTGTGTGTGTAACAAGGATATGGGTGTGTGTATAGTTAAGTATCACAATAGCAGACAAACATTGGGCCTCAAGTCCTCCCTCAATGCAAGAACACTCTGTTCTAATAACTTGCCATTCTGTGAAGCTCACCTTCACAACATGATCACTGAAGATAAAATGGGCGCATAAACAAATGTGGTGAAGAAAGCTAATGATGCCCAGCTATCAAAAGATAAGCATCTGGAGATTTAAAGACTTGAAGTTATAAAGCATACATCTAGCAGCTCAGCAACAATGCCCACATAGAAGAAGCACACCAGCCTGTATTGTGTGTTCACGAAGTGTCGACAGGAGCAGGTATCAGGCATCAGAAGACCCAAAGCAACAATAAATATCAATGCAAATGAGGGGTGTTGGAGTAGAGACCCAAAGCCCCTCTGTAAGCAATTGGACATCCCCTTGCCGAAGGATCACAAGGAAGGGACAAGCCAGCCAGTGTGCAGTATAACACCAACAAAACACGGCATTCTTCTGGTTCAACAGTTCTCAACTTGTGGGTTGCGGTCTCTTTGGGGGTCAAATGACCCTTTCACAGAGGTTCCCCAATTCATCACAGTAGCAAAATTACAGTTATGAAGTAGCAATGGAAATAATTTTATGGTTGGCAGGGGTGATCACCACAACACGAGGAACTGAATTAAAGGGTCGCAGCACTAGGAAGCTTGAGAACCACTGCTCTAGTTCTTTAATGCTTCTTCCTCCCCAGTATCATGATCCCAGTTCTACCTTACACATCCAGCTGGACTGGAGTATGTGCACTGGTTCAAATAAGAGTTCTCAACACATGGAATCCAGGACAGATACTGGGACAATACTGGGAGTAGTGGTACCTTGAGGGTTGGGGGAAAAAGGGGTCACCGAAAGCAATCATCGACGTATACCCCATTCCCAGGGGGAGGAACAACAGAAAAGTGGGTGAAGGGAGACAGCAGATGGTGTAAGATATGAAAATAGTAATGATTCATAATTTATGTAAGGTTCAGGAGGGGAGAGGGAAAAAGAGGAGCTGATACCAAGGACTCAAATAGAAAGAAAATGTTTTGAAAATGATGGTGGCAACAAATGTACAAATATGCTTGATACTATTGATGTATGGATTGCTATAAGAGCCCCCAATAAAATGATTTATCAAAAAAAGAAATATTACTCTCTAGAACTTGTTTTACGTACCTAACCACTCATAGGACTGGGCAAGATTAAAGTTAAATTCTTTGGACTTGAATACCTCAGGCCAATGGTTCTAGTGTGGGAAAACATGTAGCAAGCACTTTACAATACTATTATTTGTATACTTAAGTATGTGTGTATATATATATATATATGTATGTGTCTTTAATCTATTCATGGTCATGCACTTTACAATACTATTATTTGTATACTTAGGTATGTGTGTATATATATGTATATGTCTTTAATCTATTCATGGCCATATGTCATTTAACGGTAAACAAATAAAGGTGATTTCACATGTCAGAAAGGCAGCAGAACAGCTCATCAGAGAAAGAGCCACTGTTTTGCATGTCTGAGTACCTGCAGTGTACGTGGCGTATGTGGTAGTGAGTGAGTGCTAGAACCATATCAGGAAAAATTAGTAAACTGGCTATCTAAGTATTTTCAGATTCAGCCAGCTCTTGTTGAGCCGTTACGTGTGTCAGTCGGGGAGTGTTTTGCACACCTTCCCCAACTCGCGCTCTGTCCTTTCTCCAGCTCTGGCTCGCTCTCGCGTCGCTCTGCGTTCTCGACCAGGACCATGTAGACCGCCTCTCCTCGGGGAGATGGATGGGGAAGGATGGGCAACAAAAACAAATGGTATGGTCACCATTTTAAAAAATAAAAATTTAAACTGGATTTGCATTATGATAGGATACTTACTTTCATATAGATTAACTTTAAAAAATTCGAGTCAAAATGCACAATTAGTGGAAGTCTTGAAAAGCTGCTCCTCTCAAAAAGCTTGTGTCACCCAGGGTCCCCTCTTCATAGTACACTGGGAATTTTAGAGACTTTTGTTTTAAGAGTTTCTCAGTTCTCCCCTGAATCACATTGGTATCATATCAGAATTTTGTTTTCATAAGACTGTCGAGCCAGATCCTATACCGAAAGTTAATCTCATAGTCGGGAGGAAATAAAGCAGAAGTGGAGGTAATACAACATGCCATCTATTCACAGATGTATGTTAATAAAAGTAGCTCTAATGGGCATCGACAGGTTCACTGGAAGGAAAACCTTGTTGATAGGCCCTTCTGGCATTTTGTTGCGTTCAGGTTTCACAATGAATCGTTTCTTTGTTTAGCATACAAAGAACATTACTTTGAATATTCAAGTAATGGGCAGAAAAACTTTAAGTTGCTAAGCAGAGTACACATTTATTGTACTTAGTCATCGTTGAACCTATATTAATTACTATTTTGGGGTTTAGGGAATTTTTAGAGTTAGTGTATTTGCCATAATTAAGTTTGCTCAGTACTCAGATTCTAACTTCTTCATAGACCTCAGACTAATAGAATTTCATGGATTGCATTCAGTTTGCATGCCTGTCTGAAACTTCAAATCCAGTGTGAACTTTGTGCATGGTTTATTTTAGCCTATGTGTGACAACCACGACGATGGAGAAACAGCCGCCATCATTCTGTGCAACGTGTGTGGGAACCTGTGCACTGACTGCGATAGATTCCTGCATCTCCATCGTCGCACCAAAACCCACCAAAGACAGGTGAGGATCTCAGGCTGTATACACACAGCGGTACCTGAAGCAGAGCAAAATATCCCCAGTAAAGTCCGAAATCAATGTGGGAGGGACGCTCCGGAGAGCGAGGGGGAAGTGGACTTTGGAATCAAAAGATGTAAATTGAGCTCCCAGCTCCTCTCGCCAACTAGACAAATCTAACAGGTGTTCAACCCTCAGGGACTTTATTCCCTCGTTTACTAAGGTACGTGTCGAGTGGATACTGAGGGGGTGATGATGAAGTACCTAGAACAACTTAGGGTGCTGCGGAAAGGGGATCCACTATCACTACTAAGTAGTTTAATGTCAGGTTTCCCCTTTCCCTTCTCTCTAACAACTCTAGGTCTTCAAAGAAGAAGAAGAAGCTATCAAGGTTGACCTTCATGAAGGTTGTGGCAGAACCAAATTGTTCTGGTTGATGGCACTAGCAGATTCTAAGACAATGAAGGCAATGGTGGAATTCCGAGAACACACAGGTAAAAGAGATTAGAGATTGAGTCGTGCTTCCTGGTTATCATTAAATTAGATGTTAGTTCATTTAATATGAGTGATTTTGAGGAATATTCTAATATTTGGCTATGACATGATTGATCATTGTTTATGTCATCATATTTACTAGATATAGACTAGTGGTGGTGGTAGAACATTAGACTGTCAAAGTCAAGAAACCTGTTTCGCCACTCACTCCCTAGCTGTGTGAACTTCGGAACTCTGTCTAGCCTGTCTAACTCCAGAGATGCTCCATGGATCAGAGACTTGGGTGGACACTTCCTTCTAGTCCTTCTGGCTATCGCCTAGTGAGCATCGCTGCGAGGAATGGTCACTGAGGTGTAATCTAGCCATAAGGCTATATGATTTTAAGATTACCTAAGGATTTTCCTAGAGCTACGCTTCCTAAGGTTTTCTAAAAGAAAATTTTCCTATTGACGGTAATAAATAAAATAATCAACAAATACTGATAGATATTAGTTTCTTTAAGCACAAAGTCATTTAGTCTAATGTACCTTAAAAGTATAGGGTATTTTCCTTTTTTAAAAAATTAGAAATTTAACTTTTGTTCTTTTGGGGTTTTTCCCCAAATTAAGTTGGTGTAGTCCCAGATTAATGGTTCGTCAAGCAATTCAGCTCCGCATCCTACCCTCAAAGTCACTTCCGAGTGCTGGAGTTTCTGGAGGCTCTACGTCTCTGGAAGTAGATAGCCTCCTCTTTCTCCATCCTGTGACATAGGATCTTACAAGTTCTTACTTTTCAACAAGTCTGCAGTCTGCCAGTGACACAACTGACACAAAAGTCTGCTATTGGATAGGTAGAAACCTGAATATATTTAACTCTTAATTACATGAGCGGCTTTTGATACCACAGGAGCATAGCCTTGTTTTTCCTCATCATTGCATGCTATGATCTTAAGGAATGACCCTAATATTGATGTCAACTATCCAACCCCCCCTACCCCCGCAGTTGTATAAATGCTGACAAGATCAGAAGCACTAGATGGCACCCCCTGGCTCACTTGAAGGTGCTCTCTAGAAAAGATACCCCACTCCTGGTAGTTCCCTCTAGTCCTCTTAGTGTAAATTCCATGTCCAGGGGAGTCTTGGTGGCTTCCTGGTTATGCGTTGGGCTGCTAACCGCAAGGCCGGCCTTATGGAGACATCAGCTGCTCTGCTGGGGAAAGACGAGGCGTTCTACTCTCGTGACCAGTTACAATCTCAGGAAAAGTTCTACCTTGTCCTATAGCTTCACCACGAGTTGGAATTGGCTTGGTGAGCTTTTGTGTTACTATTATATTTACAAAATTTGCATCTGTTTAAAAACGAACTTGGTGTGTGACTTTAAATCTCCCAAGCCATATTTCTCATTGTTCTGTCCTTGTTTTATGGAGTCTGTTCCTTCTTCAAATGCTTAGAAAAGTACTGAAATTTCTTTTCAAATGATCTATAGCCCATGGGTGGGAGTTTATTTTTGAAGTGTCATACTCTAAGGATAGATTATTCTCCTATTTCTTGTAAATTTTTTAAAGATTTCCTCTGTGCATTTTTAGTTAAGATTTGTTGTTATCTTTTGGGCTGCTCATTACAAGGTCAGGAGTTCAAAACCAGCACCCACTCCTTGGGAGACAGGGAGGCTTTCTACTCCTGTGAAGAGTTAGACTCTCCGAAACCCCCACGGGCTGTTCTCCTCTGTTCTATAGGGCCTCTGAGAGACGGCGTCAACTTGATAGCAATGACTTTTGGGTTCTTATTTGGTTGGATTTTTCACACCAGGGAATTTACCCTGTCCTGTCAGTTCTCTATCTTTACTAGAAGTGCTTACAAGAAGTCTGTTATTTTCACTGGAAAACTGTAAATAAATCAGACAAGAATTTCTTTGGCTGGCTGTAGGTCTTTTCGTTTATTATGCTTCTTTTTATGATTATTTACTTGGTAAATTACTGTACCTTACACCCTTGAGTCAAAATCATCAGGTTAATTCATCAGTGAGGACAATGACTCCAAACCCACTGTGCTTTTCTGTGCTGGTTTTCTTTCCTTGCCGTGTGAAAGTGTAGAAAACACATCTGTTGACGGTTTTCTTTTCCTCTCCGTGAAACTAGGCAAGCCAGCCACAAGTAGTTCAGAGGCGTGTCGTTTCTGCGGCTCCAGGAGCGGGACCGAGCTCTCTGCTGTCGGCAGCGTCTGCTCTGACGCCGATTGCCAGGTGAGGCACCGTGAGGAGGAGCAGCTGCAGCTCAGTATCACTCTTGGTTTCTAATTCATGTTCTGCCTCCATCACGAGTTAGATGCTTTGTGAGAGACAGAGAGAGACGCAGCCACAGTCAGAGGTATTCTGAGAATCGCTGCCTGTTTTCTACCCCCGAAATATTTTAAATAAGTTTCCAGCATCTCAGAGTTCTTTAGTCTTGAACATTTATGCATGTATTCTCTGCCACACAGATATTTTGGGTTCTCAATTTAAGTAACAAGAATTTGATCAGAGAGCTCAAAAACAGAGAGATTTGGATTGTTTTGTTTTTCTTGTTGTTTGAATCCTTGCTTGAGAAGGAAATGATTGAGAACTTGTACATCAGAAATTTTTTTTTATTCACGGCTAAGTAGGATAACAGTTTAAAATTCACGTTTTGTCAGCATTTCCTGTATTTTTATATTTCTGTGGACTTATAGTTATTTTTAAGTCTCATTAAAAGACTAGCAGACCTGAGTAGTAATCCTAAATTCTATTGTACCAAAGGATAAAAATAGTACATTTTGTTGTAATTTAGGCTTACTAAGTATTTCTTGTAGGAATAAAGTCTCGGAAAAGTAACGCAATAGATAAAACTACCCTCTTTGACAAAGTGCCCTGTTGTCCCCCCGTCTCTAACAGGAATATGCTAAGATTGCCTGCAGCAAGACCCACCCCTGTGGTCACCCGTGTGGGGGCGTGAAGAACGAGGAGCACTGCTTGCCCTGCCTGCACGGCTGCGATAAAAGTGCATCGACGCTGAAGCAAGATGCCGACGACATGTGCATGATATGTTTCACCGAAGCGCTCTCAGCGGCACCAGCCATTCAGGTTGTCTCCGTTGTAACAATTACGTGTGCCTAGACTTAAAACAAGGACACTCGTATGTGTGTCAAATCAACAGGCAATTAAATTCTTCTTTATAGCATGGGCAAAAATGTTCCATTAATATATACATTGGACAGCAAATTCAGTCTCCTTGTGCTCTGTATACGTGTGTGTGCGTATGTTCAGCTTTGTGACTTCTTTGAGCTTATATAGATTCAATGAAGACCTGGTGGCTTAGTGGTTTACAGGTTGGGCTGCTAAACGAAAGGTCAGCAGTTCAAAACCACCAGCCACTGCTTGAGAAAAAGATGAGACTTTCCACTTCCATAAGGAAACCCGCAGGGGTAGTTCTACTTTGTTCTCTAGGGTCACTGTGAGTTCTGGTCAACTCAGTGGCATTGAGTTTTGGTTTATAAAGGTTCAATAGAATATATGAGGTGTTCCTAAGGGGAAGAAATATAGTTCATTTGTCCAGGAGATACTCTTAATTTCCAAAATCCCACATAGTATTTTTATATCATGTAAGTATAAATTATTTATACAGCTATGCATACTTTTATACTTAATTACTTAATACTATTATAAAAATTACTAATTTCTAAATGAATCTGTTGGGTTTTTGTTTTTTTAATTTTTACCAATATCATATATATATATATCTTAGTTTTTATGATTCCTAGGAAATGTATGCTCTCAAAAAACACATTTAAATTAGTAGTTTTATGAATGAGTTTGCACTCATAATTCATGAATGAGTTCACATGCATGTGTTTCTCCCTGACAGGCTTACTTTCCACAAGTGGTATTGGTATATTAATGGTAAATACTGGTAGAAGTTGTTGGCATAGTTAGTAACAATCCTTTGGATAATAAAGAAGCCATTGCACTCAGTTTCTTGGTTTTTCTTGTACATGCTTTGAACACTCCACCATTTGCTCAGCTGTAATCTTCATCACAGACACTTACATCCTTCTCTCTTCTCTGTTTAAGCTGGACTGTAGCCATGTGTTCCACTTACAGTGCTGTCGACGAGTTTTGGAAAACAGGTGGCTTGGTCCAAGGATAACATTCGGATTTATATCTTGTCCCATTTGCAAGGTATGGAAAGAATCCAAGTTATCTGCTTCCTCCTTACTTTCATCTTCCTAATTAAGCGCATGCCAGTACCTGTGGGGATCGCTTTCAGTGTGCTTCTTCCCACTAGCCCCCGTCAGTTTCCACCCTTCCCATCTAGAGGTAGGATTGTGGCTAGATGCTGCTGAATTGTTTTTTTATGGCTCCTTGCAACCCTGTGCGTGCAGAGTAGAACTGTTCCATAAATGAGCCAAGATCCCGAGGCTCTTCTCTTCATGTTAACGGAATCTATTCCAACAGCACTGCTAGTTCCATTAGGGTTTCCTGTGGCCATGGCATTACAAGGCAGATCCCAGCCCTGGCTCCCAGGGCAACTCGGGGGAGATGCACACTGCCAGTATTTCAGCAAGCAGGGCGTTAACCCCTTGTGCCATCCAGGGACACCCAGCTAGGTGGTGTCCGTGCCCGTTAGTAGGTCCGTCTGTTATGATGCATTTCAGAGTCATGATTGTCAATTCAGATCTGCTGCGGTTGTTCCTGTAGTGGTGGTGTTGATGGTGGTTGTGTGCCATCAAGTGTCACCTCATAGCAGCCCTGCATGACAGCGTAGCACTGCCCCACAAGGCCTCCTGAGCAGTAATCTTTACAGCAGCAGATCACCAAGGTTTTTCTTCCACAGAACAGCTGGTGGGTTTGAACCACTGACCTTTGCTTGGCAACTGAGCACTGAACCATTGTCTCACCAGGACACCTTTCCAATTAAAATCTGGCTAAATTGAATTAAGCATATTACATCAGCAGATGTACTTAGTCGTGATCATGCATTAGAGAGCATGCACCATTCATTACTATCAGATGCCCTGAGAGTTCAGATGATGCACCGTGGCAACAGTTAGCGACCAAAAAGAGTGACCCAGTGGTACTTAGAGGTACTTATGTTTAAGGAGTGAAATCTGAACTTGCAGTGCCATTAAAAAAAATTCAGGTAATAAGGAAAAGAGTCTTTGCACATATTTTGCCACCTCTTTACCGAAGTGTTTACGCAAAACAGCAGTTGTTTTGGCCAGCCAATAAAGATCCATTCCCTTTGTTGACACCTGTGACTGACCAGGCCTTCCCTACTTATTCTTCATTCCTTATTGTTCCGTTCAGTTCATCCCATTTTATTGCCTTCACTACTGCTTCGCTAAACGGAGGGAATAGCAGTCAGAGACTGGGCTATTTTACTCCCCCTTGTCCCGTAGGCTCGCCCTGAGGTGGAATCACCTTGATGGCAGTGAGGGTTTAGCTTCTCGTAGAGTGACACAAAGAAGGCTCACACTTAGGATCTGGAAGTAGATCCTTGAAAGGGAGTTTAGAAACTGCTGCCTGCTTCTTTCAATCACTTGACATTCTTCTGTACGCCCAAGGAGCCCAAACACCCACAGTTGGGGAGAGCGTCTCCATTTAGGCATCAGGATCACTGTTGATCCCCAGAACAGCTAAGGAAGCGTGGGGCTTGACTTTCAGACACAGGAAATATGCATGAGTATAGGGTGTGTGCGTGCCCTGTGCACCATTTACCCATTTCCCCTGCTTTAGAGAACGTACAGGCTCTCAAGGAGGCTGCAAGCTGATTTAGAACTTGTTTACTGTCTGGTCATCTCTGAGCACAGTGCCTGTTGGCATGTGGCTGCACATAGAGATGTTTTTCAATTAAACCATAAATGGTTCTTTTAAAGAATGTTGATTTCTGCTTTATTTCAGAACAAAATAAATCACATAGTATTGAAAGACCTGCTTGATCCAATCAAAGAACTCTATGAGGATGTCAGAAGGAAAGCCTTAATGAGACTGGAATACGAAGGGCTGCATAAGAGCGAAGCGATCACAACTCCTGGGGTCAGGTTTTATAATGACCCAGCTGGCTATGCCATGAACAGATACGCGTATTACGTCTGCTACAAATGCAGAAAGGTATGAGAATGCTTGGGAACCACTGGTGGTGTGTGTGATTAAGAAGTTTAAGTGCATGCTGATATCTAATTAGCCTTTTTCTTAAACCTGAAGTTACAAATGAGACAGTGTCCAAGTTTCAGGATGAGCTTAGTTACTTAATTTGTCTTTAGGACTTTCACATCCTCCTGGTTGCCAAATCCCGTTGGTTCTAGAATGATCTCGTACTTGACTCTGTTGATTATTCCCTATTTAGAATAAGGACTTCCTTAACTTGTAGGACTTTTGATGTTCTCCTTCCTCCGTGGCTTTCAGTCGACTACCCGTCACATGTTTGTTCTCTGAACCTCTGTTCTTGTCCAACGCCCTAGGGTCTCCTCGCCTTCTGTAACATGCAGTAAACCTCTGGTTCCACCTCCCATCTACAGCATTTTGACCTTCCGAAATACAGGTACCCAATTGTCTACCAGGCATTGGGATTTCTCACACGTGTCCATTATTGCACTTGACATCCTCGACTCACTTAGCAAAGGTATCATCAGATTTCTCAAGCCGCCCCACTTTTTTTTTAGCAACCCAAAATATTTTTCATTTTGATGATGACAGCCCTTTTTTTTATAGCCTTCTAATATAACCCCTCCATTAGATCCTTAAAATTAAAATGTTACTAATAGGCTAATCTAGTTAGACCTCAATCTAATTATGTCATTCTTCTGTTTATAATCCTGTAACCCTGCCCACCTCCCAAACTTCATCCCCCAATGTGCTACAATGAGCCTTTAACTACTAGCTCATGAACTGCTTACCGTTCCCCATTCTTAGTGAGGTTAACTCAATCACCAGCACCTCAGGACCATTGCACATGCTGTTTCACTACACAGGATGCTCTTCTCTGTTGCCTCCTGTGCATTTTACTCACCTGCCACCACCCGCCCATGCAGCCATGCTCACCTACATGCCTCAAGTCTCACCTCCTCTCTAGATGTTCCTACCTCCTGTGCACTTGCACATAATTTTGGTGTCTTATGTATACATCATAACACTAGATATTCCACATCATGATTACTCTTGTACTTCTCGCTACCCCATTTATTAAGTCCCATTCAGGCAAGGCCATCAATAGTCTATCATTTTGTCATACTTTGGTAGCTTGTGTGTTGCTGTGATGCTGAAAGCTATGTCCAATGGTGTTTAAAATACCTGCAGGGTGATACATAGTGAGCAGGTGTCAGCAGAGCTTCCAGACTTAGAGCAGACGACAAAGAAGGAATAGACTGCCCACTTCAGAGGAATTGGTCACTGAAAACCCTATGAGTACCTTCAAAACATTGTCAGTTACTGCAAACCTCATGAACAGAAGCAGAACATTGTAACTCTTTACAGGGGTAGAAAACCCCATCTTTCCCCCATAGAGCAGCTGGTGGTTTTGAATTACTGACCTATCCAGTAGCAGCCGAATTCATAACCACTACACAGCCAGGGCTCCATTGGAGAAGCTCATATCAGCAGCTGAAATCAGGCCAGCGGCCGGCTGCAGAAGACACCGTTAATTGATCATATGTAAGCCCAGGTTGAAATGGAAGAAAATGAAAACAAGTCTACAACTTTGCGTCTGTCCCACCAGAATTTCAAGAACCTCTCAAGAACAGATTTGATGCATTAAGCCCTCAAGACTGATTAACTGTGGGATGATACCAGTAACATTATCTGTGAAGAAAACAGAAGTCATGAGACAGGAAAGAAAGGACAATCCCAATGGATGTCAGAGGAGACTCTGAAGCTTGTTCTTCATCACGGAGTAAAGCAAGTGGAAGAAAGGATGAAATCAGAGAGCTGAACTGAAAATTTCAAAGAGCAATTCAAGAAGACAAAGTAAAATATTATAATGAAATATGTAAGCACCTACCATTATAATAATGAAATAGAATAATAAGTTTATCATATCTTAAACTGAGAAAACTCAAGAAAATACTCAAGCCTCAAGTGCTAGTATTGAAAAATTCTATGGGCAAAATATTGAATGATACAGGAAACATTAAAAGAAGATGAAAAGAATGTACCGGGTTCACTGAGCCACAAAAATCTAGATGATACTTAACCATTTCAAGACGTAGCATATGAGCAAGAACCAATGGTGCTGAAGGAAGAAGTTCAAGCTACACTGAAAGCATTAGCCAAAATCAAGGCTCCAGGAATTGATGGCATGCCCACTGAAATGATTCAAAAGTTGAGGAAGCACTGGAAGTACTCGTTTGTGCCACGGAATTTGGAAGACAACTGCTTGGCCAACTGACTGGACGAAAATCCCTATTTGTAGCCATTCCAAAGAAAGGTGACCCAACAGAATGTTAAAATATGAAAACAGTATCATTAATAGCACATGCAAGTAAAGTTTTGCTGAAGATCAGCCAAGAATGGCTGGAGCAGTAAATTGACAGGGTGCTGCCAGGGGTTCAGGCAGGATTCAGAAGAGGATATGGATGGAGCAAGGGATATGATGTCAATCCTGACATCAGATGGATCTCGGCTGAAAACATAGAATACCAGGAAAATGTTTACTTTTGTTTCTTTGATTATGCGAAGGCATTATATTTTGTAGATCATAACAAACTATAGATAGTCTTAAGAAGAATAGGAATTCCAGAACTCTTCATTGGACTCACAGGGAACCTGTACATGGGTCAAGAAGCAGTTGTGCAAACAGAACCAAGGGGCACTGCGTGGTGTAAAATCGGGAAGGTGAATTTCGTGGTTGTCTTCTCACTAATTCAACCTGTATGCTGAGCAAATCATCAGGGAATGTGGCTTATATGAAAAAGAAGATGGTATCAAGACTGGAGGAAGGCTGATTAAGAACCTTCAGTATGCAGATGACACAACCTTGCTTGCTGAAGTGAGGACGACTTGAAGCACTTGCTGATGAAGATCGAGGTTTGTAGCCTTCAGTGTGGAATACACAATGTAAAGAAGACCAAAATACTCACAACTGAACCAATAGGAGATAAATGGAGAAAAGATTGAAGATAAATGATAAAAAGGAAATAAATGGAGAAAAGATTGGAGTTGTCAGGTATTCCATTTTACTTACGTATGCAATCAGTGCTCATGGAAACAGCAACCAAGAGGTCAAAGGATTCCTTGCATTAGGTAAATCTGCGGCACAAGACCTCTTAAAAGTGTTGAAGAGCAAGGCTGTCACTTTGAGGACTGAGGTGCACTTGCTCTAGCCATGATATTTCCAGTTGCTTCAGAGGCTTGTGAAAGTTGGACATTGAATAATTCAATTGAAACATTGATGCATTTGAACTATGGTATTGGCAAAGAATATTGAAAATACCAAACTGAAACCAAAGTCATTGCCATTGAGTCAATGCCGACTCAGTAAACCTATAGGACAGGGTAGACACTGCTCTGGCGGGTTTCTGAGACTGTAACTCTTTATGGGAACAGAAAGCCAGTCTTTCTCCCACGCAGTGGCAGGCGATTTCAGGCTGTTGACATTACAGTTGGCAGCCCCATGAGTGACCACCAGAGTCCCTGCAGTGGAAGCACCATGGACTGCTAAAAGAAGAAACAGATCTGCCTCGGAAGAGGTACAGTCGGAATCCTCCTCCAAGGCAAGGATGGCTAGACTTTGCCTCACGTACGTGGGACAGGTTGTCAGGAGAGGCCAGCCCTTGGAGAAGCACGTCGTGTTGTGAAGTGGAGGGCGGAGAACAAGAGGAAGACCCTCGACAACGGGGATTGGCACCGTGGCTGCAACAGTGGATTGAAACATAACAGTTGTGAGGCTGGGAGGTGTTTCCTTCTGTTGCACAGAGGGTCTCTATGATTCGGACCTGATGTGATGGTACCTGATAACAACTGTATTTGATTCATTTCTGTGTCTCTAGCAGTGGGCATTGAATGGACACTGGTGGCATAGTGGTGACATCTTGGGCTACAATCCGAAAGGTCAGTTCAAAACCACAAGCCACTCCACAGAGAAAGTTGAGGCTTTCGATTCCCATAGAGTTACAGCCCCAGAAACCCACAGAGGCAGCTTTACCCTGTCCTATAGAGTCACTGTCAATCAACATTGACTTGAAGGTAGTGAGTTAAATTAATGTTTATTAAATTAGACAATAAGTAAATGAGTAAAGGAATGAATAAATGCAAGATGCAGAGTACCTCAATATATATATAATTTCACACACACACACATATATATATATACAGTGAATGAAGCACTAAATAGATAATGCCCAAGAATCCACATTTGCATGCACCCAGAGAAAGACCCTGTAGTGTTGCTGCTGGTGGGTGCCTTCCAGTCACCTCTGACTCACGGGCACCCGTCAAAGCACAGCACAAAGCGGCACAGTGGTTATGTGTACGCCATGTTCGTCCATCTGATCGAAGGTCTTCTTTTTTGCCGACTCCCTTACCAAACATGATATCCTTTTCCTGGGACTGGTCTCCCCTGATACATATCCAGAATAACAGGAGATGAAATTTCTCTGCCCTTGCTTCTAAAGGGCATTCTGGGTGTACTTCCTAAACACATTCGTTTACCCTTGTGGCAGCCCATGGTACCTTCAGTAGTCTGTACCAGGACTGTCGTCTAAGTGCATCACTTCTTCTGGGGTCTCCCTTAATCATTGCCCAGCTTTCACGCGCATGTGAGACCATTGAAAATATCATGGCTTGGGGGAGGTGCACATGATTCCCAAAAGTGATCTCTGCTCTCTAACACTTTAGAGAGATCTTGCGCAGTGGTTTGCTCAGTGCAGTAATGTGCATTTGTCAAAGCCGTTTTGCTACAAATAATAAAATACTGTTTCTCTGGGTTTAATACACTAAACACCATAAGTGAACATTATAGTACCACAGTGGCATATGTGTAACAGTCAAATGACTAGAAAGCTCAACGGGGATTATAGGATTGAAACAACTCAAACAGCTAATAGGCTCCAGGGCAAATAGAATACATTTTGGCAAGATTGACCTGGTCATTTGTAACTTCTGTGTCAACAGAGCCTGTCTTGTGACCTGTTCTTCCAGAACCAGCGATGGACTGATAGTGACTCTTATCTTGCTTATCCTTTCATTTTAGGAAGGCTGGCTACCAAATATAAAGACAGCTTTTGGAAACGTAACATAATGTACATTCAGATCATGCCACTTTTATTGGCCTCATTTGTTGTGTTTTGTTTTTGCTTAGCACAAACACAGGTAAATCGTTTATCACATGTCTGTAATGAATACCATTGGGTTCCTGCAGGTAGTGTAGCTTTAAAAACCTGAGCAATATTCTCAGTGGGACTACTAAATTTTCCCTTTCTGTTTAAAGTGTTGGCATGATTAGTAAATGCTTAAAACTTGTTTTGATGTTTTCTTCATCATTACCCTTGGGATTTGAAACCTGTATTAATAATGTTTTTTTATTGTTCTTGTACAATAATATAATTTTGGGACTTCTAAGCTTACTTTTTAAGGGCTCTAGAAGAGAATAATGCTGCTTAATCTTTCTAAATGAAAAACACAAAAACAAAACTTCGTTTTGGGGAAGTGTGGTTTCTCCTCACTGCTTAATATTCTGTACTGGTATTTCCAATCTTTTGTCCTGTTGCTTTGATGGAGCAACGATTGATCTTCCTCCTGGGGCGTCTGTGTCTGTTGTAGCCTCCAGAACTGATGGAGCCTGACTTCTCACCCTGCCACCCCTCCAGGCAGCAGTGCGGGCGTGCACGGGGCCGTGCCAGGGTTCCATAGATAAATGTTTTCTCTGGCTGCTGTGGTTCTTTCACCGTGCCTCTCTCCAGTACCACGTTTTCCTGGCGACTTCTGAGATCCAAATGTGTTCTCTCCATAGGCATATTTTGGTGGCGAAGCACGCTGTGATGCTGAGGCTGGACAAGGGGATGACTATGATCCTAGAGAGCTCATTTGTGGTGCCTGTTCTGATGTGTCCAGGGCTCAGGTGAGCAGAACATTTGATTAGAAAACATAGTTTAGAAACGTTCATCTTCTTTTTTATTTCCTTCTATATTTTTTGTTTTGTTTTTGAAGTAATTATATGCCCATTGTGATAAACAAGCCCTGCCATGGGATCAGTTCCGACTCAGGGCAGCCTACGAGATGGGGAGAACTGCCCCTGACTAACTCTGTCCCGGCCCAGACAGCCTCCTCTTTCTCTCTCGGAGCAGCAGAATGTGGTTTCAAACTGCTAACCGTGCAGTTCGCAGCCCACCATGTGACCACTCTGCCACCAGAACTCCACCCAATCTGATAGGCATGGTAAATCAGCTCTTCTCTCAGCATGTCCTTATAGTCGTACTTCATTGTATAGTTTTCCCAATTGTTTTCTACCAGTTATTTCAACAAGATAGTATTTTCCACAGGTGCTCCTTTTTGTAATTGTTTCTTTGCTAAACTGTATCACCACATTTCAACAAGAAATAAAATCATTCCTTTTTTCTTCAACTTGCAATCAAACATTCATGTTTTCTCCCCTGTGAAATATTCACAATTCATCTATGAGATGAATTGGCAGCTAGGTGAGATATTAATATTGCAAATTGATAGGTCAGGAGCCATTGATGAGAGAAATTGTGTGGCGTGCTTCAGTTAATAGATGATGGGAGAGCTAAGGGTTTGGCCTAGACCTATTGGGCAAAACCACACGCTTACAAGGGGACTTCAGAAAGCTCCTGGAGAAATCCCATCTCTTGTAATTCCATTTTTGCACAAACTTTTTAAGCTCCCTTATCAATTTTTCAGTCTTCTAGAGGCACTCTGTATGTTCTCAGAATATGAATGGCTAAGCCATGTCGATGACTCTCAAGTATAACTCTCAGTGTCATCTCAGTGTAATTCTGTGTCTGTTTCCTTTTACTGTAGATGTGTCCCAAACATGGTACGGACTTTTTGGAATATAAATGCCGCTACTGCTGTTCAGTGGCTGTCTTTTTCTGTTTTGGAACAACACATTTTTGTAATGCTTGTCATGATGACTTTCAAAGAATGACAAGCATTCCTAAGGAAGAACTACCACACTGTCCTGCAGGTAGGTCTACAGCATGTTCTAACTAGGACGATGACATACATGGTATCCAGTTTTATTAAAATTATGTTACAACTCTTTGTTCCAAGTGGCAGAGACTTAACTCAGACTAGCCTGAAGAATCAGAGGGAATTTGTTGACTCCCATAAGAGTATGGTTTAAAAAAAAAAACACACACATTCCTGAGGGAAGGGTGAGAACTGTATTTGGATAGATCTTTTTTAGATTGTGAACAAAGTTAATTAAAAATTGGTAACACGATTTAAAAGGCCGTGTAAAACTTGAAATTATAAATGAATAATGGAACCAGTTACAAGGATTTTGTGAGCTTTTTTATTTCCCCTTAAAGAAGCTTGGAATCAGAGAAGGGACTGGTGATTGTTCTAGAATGGCTGGGAAGTGGCAGTTTAGTGAGCTGCAGAGAGCTGCAGCCCTGAGTATGGGGGATGGGTGCCTCTGTAAGAGATGGGAGCATGAGCGTAGAGGCACACCAGGTAGATAGGTGTATGTGAGCTTAGGGAAAAGACACGCGTGTGCGATGCACCCAGCACCGTGAAAGCTGTGAAACAGCTGCTCTCCACCACTGTGAGGATCAGCTGTGTGTGAGAGTCCCCAGGCTGCAAACCACATATAACGGAAAACAAACTCACTGCCATCCAGGCGATGCCAACTCAGGGTAGGACTGCCCCTGTGGGGTTCCGAGCCTGTTCGTCTTTACGGGAGTAGAAAGCCCTGTCTTTTTCCCCCAGTGGCAAGCTGTTTGCGAGGATGCTAGTCCTATCTATATAACCTAGTGGGAAGCTGTTTGACTGCTGATCAAAATTACAAATCCAAATCCATTTTTCCTTCAACATCTCATTTCTGGAGATAAACCTACACATGTAAGAAAAAAAAATTTTTTAAGAACAAATAAACAATGGTTTTCATTGCAGTATTGCTTATAATCGTAATAGTGATTTTTAAACAACCTAAGTATCCAGTAGAGAACTGAAACCAAACCCACCGTCATCGAGTCAGTGCTGACTTGTAACTGACTTGTAACGACCCTATAGGACAGAGCAGAACTCCCTCTGTGGGTTTCTGAGATGGTAAGTCTTTATGGGGATAGAAAGCCTCATGGTTCTCTCATGGGCCAGCTAGGGGTTTTGAAATGCTGACCTTTTAGATTGCAGTCCAAGACATAACCACTGAGCCACCAGGGCTTCTTAGTGTCCAACTGGGAAAAGGTCAGATACCAACTGTTACGCACCATTATAAAAGAAGAATGAGGGTGGAGTTTCTATGTAGCAGTCTCGCAAGATCACTAGGGTAAATGCAGTCATTAGGTGTTAAATGAACGCAGTAATTGCAGGTCAGTATATATAGTGTGGAACCCCTGGTAGCACAGTGAGTTAAGCACTGACCTGCTGAGAAGTAGGTTCAAACCCACCAGTTACCAGTCTCTAAGAGGGATCCAAATTTTGCTTGGAAAAAAAAAATTTTTTTTCTCCCCTATGTTTGAAAGGGAAAATAATAGGGAAGTTAGCAATCAGTCAGAAGTGTCAGGGAGCACAGGATAAAGGAAATAGGGGCCGGGGCTGAGAAAAAGGGTCAGACAAAGCAGGGCTTCCTCCTCACCACACACCCACATGATGGTCCCTGTCAGCTGACAGAAGGGTGTGTGCGCTTCCTCAGACTGCCCTGAGTCACAGGAATGGGAAGAGATCTAAGACAGAAGGCGCTAACCTGGATTTTGAGCATTTTCACAGAGATTACTCACGCATCATTTTTACCGCAGCTATAAGACAAGAGGACATGCTCACAAGTGAAGAATTGAGGCACAGGAAGGCTACAGCCCTGGCCTAAAACCCTGCATTTTGCCTGAGGTGCAGTCTCACAGCCTCACCAGTGCCTCTGACTTGGCCTTGCGTTAGAGAAGGGTAGCCTGATGATAACTGGGAAGACGGCACGTGGGTTACATAGAAGGACAGGAAGAGAAATTCTCCAACCACCATCGACCCCGATAGGTCTTCTTGTGAATTTATGGAGAGGGACAGGAACCGAGATTCAGAGGTTGCAGTAGATCGTCTCTGCATCACTCTATGAGGTAGCATTGTCGTGCCTGATTTACACTTGACGGATCTAGGAATCAGAAAAGCTAGGCCAACGTTTATAACCTTCATTTCCTCATCTGCAAATTGAAATAGTTCCTGTCTCCTTTGTTCATGAACGCATTCCAGGAGTTAACACAGTAGAATAAGGCCTTAGTAGTAAAGACGCAATTAATGGTGGTAGAATAATTTGGAAAAGTAGTGGGGATACTAAAGAACTTAGTATCCCTTGAATTGTGCATATTCAATTATGAAAGCATCTATTTCACCACAATAAAAAAAACTTGTTATTGTTTTTCCGATTATATTATATTTTGAACTCTGAAGATCAGGGCCATTTACTACTATTTCTCTTTATGTCTTTAGCAGCTAACTTAACATTGTTTATCCCTTAGGCTCTTAGTAAATTTTTGGTGAATAAATGGCCGCTGGTTTTTTCACTCATGAAAATCACCCAAGGGTCATATGCTGCATCTGGTCTGAGCTACCACTAGATGGCACTTGAGCTCAGTCCGCCCCAGGCCTTCCTTCCTGCCCCCTCCCTGCACCTGGAATGAGGCAGACTTGTCTGCATGCAGTGTCGATTCAGCTGGGAGATACTACTCTGCTCTGTAATTTATAGCCGTAAAAATTAATTTCCAAGTAAACCTCTGGTGTACGCCCAGCTCGACCCATTCTGGGGCCATATGCCTGTGTGTGTCCCCGAGGTGGCTCTCACTGACACTCTGTGGCTGCTGACTTAGACCCACGTTTCTCTTCTGTCTAAGGTGAGTGTCTTCAGTTAGGTCCAACTCTTATTTCTTTAGGTCAGGCTTCAGTCACTTGTTTGGTTAAAGTGATAGTAACTGATGTTTATTATTCACATGTGCCAGGCTCAATGTTTCTTACAAATACCCACTTTTTCATTTCTCGTGTGTGCCTTCTATGTGAGCAAAGTGTTCGGATCTAGAAGAGGTCCGTTCAGTGAGCCCTCCTCCTTCCCATGCAGCTGGATCAGGCCGGTCCATCCTGTTTCATGGTATTTTTCTCTCCAACAAAATCACACTTGAACTTCAGTACTTTGGGAAAGGAATGCTTCGTCCCTGCTGCTCTTCCCACTGGTCCAGCGCTCGCGTTCCCAAAGCTCAGCCCCTACTCCCTGCGCACCAAGGCTCCTTGTTTATAGGAGAGCTAGAAACCCTTTTCAAAAATCTTGTTTAACACATAGATAAAGGACATTTGCCTACTAAACTTTTCATAAAGTTTCATTTGCATAGAAACTTTTTTAAAACTTATTTTGTGTGGTTTTTTTTTAAAGACAAGTCCAGGTTTTTTGTATATTTTATAAATCTAGTTTATTTGATAGTTAACTATAAATTTCTATCTTCTCCAAAGGATTTTTTCCAGTTACTATATTATATTTTGCTATTCATCACTTAAGCTGATCAATTTTTGTTTTTCTATTCATCTCCCTTCAGATACTTTGCCACCCTGCCCATCGTCCTATTCTACCGATACATATTTCTTTATCTGTAGTTGATGTACGCAGGGTAGCTTTACTTATTTACAACTTAAAATTTATTTCCAACTGCAGGAAAACATCCTATACAAAGCCTCTGTGTTTTATGGTAAACTGCTTTTGCTCTGAGAATAGAAGAATTATTTTGTATTTACATTTAGTACTGTATTTGCATGGCTGTGGTCAGATTGTTCCTTTTCATAACTTAGCAGTGGTTCGTGTGGGATCGTTGGGTTCTGATTGCATTGTTGTGCCTCTTCCACAACTCTTCCAGGTCCCAAAGGCAAACAGCTGGAAGGAACTGAGTGCCCCCTCCACGTGGTCCACCCTCCGACTGGGGAAGAGTTTGCGCTGGGCTGTGGAGTGTGCCGGAATGCTCACACTTTTTAGAAGACTCAGATTCCTTTGTCTCCAGAGAGGACAGGTGCCTCCATTCCCCGAGAGGATGTGGTGAAGTTTAAACTCTGCTCAGGATACGGCGGGACCATTTTTACACCCTCGAACATGCACCATTCACAATGCAAGAAGGATGCCAAATACCATGTACATAATTCTTGCTGTGGAAAGTTTCCCTGTTATTTTGGTTTTAGCTTCTTTTTGAACCAAGACATCAGATCTGTGAGGTGTTTGCATGTGACCATTCCCGTCATCGACTGTGAGGCATTGGGCATTTATAGATAATTGACATAAAAGAATCGCCATGCCCATGGACTAAGAATGATGCTTAAAAGCAAAGAAAAATAAAAAGAAAAGAAAAATAATCATTGAATATTGTATACTGCCTTTTTGTAACCCTGTACAATTGCATCATGGGTGGGGATAAAAAGAGGAATATTCTGGTTTATTTCCTAGACTGTTATTTAAAAAAACAATGTGTAAGGCGGTATATAAATGTAATAAGTATCACACTGTATATAAAGATATCAATGTTTGTCCTGTATAAGAATTACTAAATTACAAATGCAATTTCATTTAAACTTCTAGGTTAAGTTTGAGCCTGAAATTTTAATGAAGTGCAATACTGAGTGTGCCTCATTATCTTGCAACTGTAAACATATTGGAATGTACATGTCAATAAAACCACTGTACATTTTTATACAGTGATAAAGTCTAACAACCGAGTAGGGTGGTATTTCCAAAACAAAATGTAAACACCTTTAACGTCTAAAAAAACATCCAGTGTGCCTGGGGAATAAATTCCCACCCCAGAGAAATTTACTTCACAGCCCCGTCATGACTTACATAGCTGTTAGAGAAAATGGGAGTGGGAGTGAGGTTTGAAAAGAAGTTTGAACTGTGGGTTGATGGTCACAAGGTGGGTGGTGCACACCCATCAGCAGCTCCACCGGAGCGAGATGCGGCTATTGGCTCCCAGAAAGATCCCATCTAGAGTTGCTGTGAGTCAGAATCGACTCAAAGAAAGTAGGTAATGAGGTTTAATGTTGAAATGAAATATCAGTACAAGATGTGTGTGTGTGTGTGTGTGTGTACATATATATGTATACATAGGTTTAGTTATAAAGAGGGAAATATTTGGGAAATCAACCAAACCCATCCTACTAACCAGCAGCAGCAGCCTCTCGAATTGTGAAGCCCCAAGACTTGAACTAAGTTCAGACTTCAGCTCTTTTCGGGCTGTGTGATCTTGAGGCAACGACTTACCTTTCCTTACTCTCCATGCTTCAGAAAATTAACACCTAATCTCTATCAAGTGAGACCGTATTTACAAAAGTGCTTTATCCTCCAATAAAGTAGCGGATACAACATCTATTCAACGCTGGGTAACAGACACAGGATTAGGCCTTCTCTTTAATCCTCCCCACAACATTGTAGAATAAAACACTGTTGATCTCGTCACCAAAAACATTAAAAAAAAAAAAAACCCTAAGAGATGGCGAGCGATTTGAACTGGATTTCAGCTGTGCAATTTGTCAGAAAAAAATTTTGACACGTGTAGCCTGGTCTCCTCTACAGTCCCCGGTCTTCCTACTGCATCATACGGTTACTCTTACATTACCAGCTGGTGCCATGACATGAGTAACAGCTGACGAGGAGCATGGGACCTGTGGAGTGGGCACAGTGGCCATCCTGAAGAGACTATTGGCTGCCAGGGCGCTCAGTACATTTGGAAAGAGCAGCAGCTGTGGCCTTGACTTTTCCTTTAGGAGGGTCCCAACCCCAGGGAGCACCATCAGCCGACAGCCGACAGCTTCCTTTGAGCTCCACTCAGGATTTGCTCCCAAATGCCTAAGTACCTGAGCTTCCAGGCTCCTTTCAGAGAGAGCAAGCCTGTGTCACTGCTCCCTAACCCGTCAGGCGCTGCTCCTGAGAAGTCCCGTGCATCTGCAGTCTTGCACATTTTGTGCTGCCATTTGCTTCCCAGAGGACCTGAGCTGACTCAGAAGAGTTATCCAAAAATCTCATTCCCATTGAGTAAATTCTACCTCTTAGCAATCCTTTAGGACAGGGTTGAACTGCCCCTGTGGGTTTCCAAGACTATTTCAGCACTTCATTCTTTTTCAGGCAAAAAATATTCCATTGTATGAATGTACCATATTTTGCTTATCCGTTTGTCTGTTGGCAGACATTGGCCTCTTTCTACTTTTTGCTGTTATAAGTAAGGCTGATAAATGCAAGGACAGTCATTATACATTTTTGCATGCAATATGCTTTTAGTTCTCTTGGGTACACAACTAAAAGTAGAATTGCCGGGTCATATGGTAGCTCTTTAGCCATTTGAGGTATTTGAAGAAAACTTCCAAAGCGATTGTACTATTGACATCCCCTTCAGAAATGTCCAAGGGTTCTGATTTCTCCACATCCTCTATTTGTTGTTATCTGACTTTTTTTTATTGTTATTGAAGAAGCTCTGGTGGTGTAGTGGGCTGATTACACACTGGGCAGCTAACCACAAGGTTGGCAGTTCAAATCCAGCAGCTGCTCCACAGGAGAAAGATGAGGCCTTCGGCTTCCACAAAGATTTATAGCGTTGGAAACCCACAAGGTCAGTTCTGCTCTGTCCTATGAGTCAGAGTTGACTTGGTGGCAGTGGGTTTTGGTTTTGTTTGTTCTGAGTGGGTCTTTATTTATAGCCATCCTAGTGGGGGTGGCTGGCACACTGGTGGCTCAGCAGGAAAGCCTCGTCTGCCTTGTGGGAGACCCAGCTTTGTTTACTGGTAAATGTATCGGTGGCACATCCACATCCTCCCTGTCAGCGGAGGCTTGCTTGTTGCTACAATGCTGACCTGTTTTCATCAGAGCGTATAGACTAAGATGTACCAGGAAGAGAGAGAGGGCTGGCGATCTACTTTCAAAAATCAGCCAGTGAGAAAAATAGGATTCACAACGCTCTGACCAGGTAGCCTTTCACTCTGTTGTAAGTCACGTCACCATCAGTGAAGGGGGCAACTGGATGGCAGCTAACAAGGAAGTGTAGGAAGTGGTGTCTTCCTGTGCTCTGGATGTGCAGAGCCTTGATGAGCATCTTTGCGGGGCTTTATGGGCCAGGTTTGTATCTTAAGTAGAGAAATAGCCACTCAATTCCTTTGACTGTTTTTTTGTTTTGGATTATTTACTTTTTCTTATTAAATTATAGGAGTTCTTTCTACATTCAGGATTCAAGTCCCTTATCAAAAAGAATTTTTTTTTCAAAGCTATGTATTTAATTTTCTTTTCAAAACAACCTTATCACCTTTAAAGAATTCTCCATTACACTTAATACATTTGTCAAATCAATTCCATTCTTGGAAAACATTTTCAAACTCATCTGTTTGGATGGCTGACAGTACCTCACTCGTTTTTTTCTTCACCTCTTCTACATCATCATATTGCTGTCCTTTTAAGTCCCTCTTCATTCGCAGAAACAAAAAGAAATCAAACTGAGCAAAGTCAAGTGAGTCAGGTGCATGGGGCAAGAGAGGCATGCTTTGCCAAAAACGGTGCACTGAGATGACTGCATGAGCAGGAACATTGTCCTGGTGGCAAAATGTCCCCCGTTTGCCACAAATCAGGCCTTTTTTGTCACACACTGTTAAGCAATCTTTTCAGAACCTCCAAATAGAAAGTTTGATTAGCAGCCAGACCTGGAGGAATGAACTCTTATGTTTGTCTGGGTAAACGAGGGAAACAAATCCACAACAACTCATGTATAAGAGGGTTTTTGTTTGTTTGTGCTCTTACAACTCTTGTTACAAACCATACGTCTTTTGTATCCGACATATTCGTACATATATTCCATCGTTCTTTTCTAGACATTTACTTTCCATTGAACCCATGGG